TACATTCATCTTGCCTCGATGCATCTTCTTGGTCTACTTACTTCCTCTTTGTCGTTAGGTATCAATGTGTGCTCGGCAAGACCGTTTTGTGCTTGAGCGCCACCAAGTCGTGTTTTACTGTAACTTCAGCAGCTCCAGGCACGTTTTTTGGTCAAACCAAAAAAACGAGCCCGAGGCATTTTTAAAAAAAATGACGCTTTTACGCCTCGCGTTTTGCGCATCGGTGTGCACACTCACATTGGCGCCATTTGTTTAGTCACGAGGTGTTAAACTTCGGCGATAATCGTGCCGGTGTGAACAAGCCTTTAATGATGAGAATTTTACAGTTATCTTGTTCTGTGTCCTAGCCAGGTGTGACGTGATAAAGTGATAAACGCTCTTGTTGTTAATCTTAAGTTTTTGTTCTGACCAGCCGTGATAAGCAGCAGGACATTTTGCTATTCTCTACACTCCCACTGTGAAATTCATGGGTCAGAATTCCACATCACTTCTTATTGGCCGTGATTGAACATTTTTCTTTTCAGTCAGAACAAATTACTTATTATATGATTTTTATCTTTTTCCTCTGCAAACATAAATAAATGAATTGGTCAATGCAATCATTAATAATTTATTTTACTTTTTTTAATGGTATTTGTGGCCCATAATTCACACATTCAAGTTACAAATGGTCATGCCTACTCGTATACTAAAAAGTAGGTGGATACACATTAATTGTGGATTTCAATAGTTTTGAACATCGTCTTACATGATGAAATTAATGAATTAATTTGAACATTTGTATGGTGTATTATTTACAGGTGATGCATGCTTCTGACAGTAAAGAGTTTCAGAGATCAGAGGTGCATGAGGAACATGGGAGGATGAAGAATGTGATGCATCTCAGAGAGAGGAAGAGGAGAAAACCTGCCTGGCGTGAGTTGCAAATGGATGTATATTAAGATGAACTGTTAAATGATCATGATGCTACAAGCTGTTATTTGTTTGTGAAATTGTCATTGTTTATGTAAATGTGTGTTACAGGATCACACAGGGTTGAGCCTCTTGGAGGAAGTGCCTGTGACTCAAGCAATGGAATAAAAGAGCCCAGCCCATAACCTTAAGTAGCCGCACAATAAAAATAAAATAAAATAATAAAATAAATGCCTTTCAAAACCCAAGGAATCTTTACGATACATTTGTGTATATATATATATATATATATATATATATACACACACCAGTGTAAAGGGCAAATGTCTAAAAATCTACTAAACAGCAGATTCAAAGTAATTTTCAAAAGTCAGAGAAAGAGCTCTTGCAGCATTTATTTGCAGATGCTACTTGGTTTGATATTTTAGAGCTTTTAAGTGTGACTTATGTGTCTAAATATGTTTTGATAAAACTGTTTACCTGTATACACCTATACTGTAGCAAAAACATGGTAGCAGAACTCATAAAGGACTCCAGGCAAACTTGCACTACCATGGATTTGAATGAAAATTTGAATGCAGCTTTAATTACATTAATCAAGCGGAACATAAAATCATATTATGACTTTCATGGTTTCCAGTTTTTGGTGTCAGATCTCCTTGGACAGAAGTAGAAACCAATACCAGAATGTCAAAGAAAAGTACAATACATAAATGCAAAGCAGTTCATCACTCAGGAAACAAGGTAAAGTAACAATTCTATGAAGACATGAATGTGGGTCGTTTGGTCTTCACTGCTGCTTCAACACCATGAAAAATGACGATCCTAAAAGTCACTTATCAAGAGAGAGTGATAAAATATCAATATTGGGGCCACATTAAGCAGGATAATATTCTGTCTGCCTTGATTTGTATTGAGTATGTGTCTGCTGCCCGGTGCTTGACGTAATGAACTCGCCCACAAATCAGGCCTTAATGGGGCCCTACTTATATATACTGCTTAATTAAAGGTTGTGGGCTTATTAACATGTGTCAGCGGTGGTGGCCGGGCGAGATTGAATCTGTTCGTACGGTGCCAGGTTGTAAAGGTTTTATAGATAACCTATCATTATTAAACCCCATTGCTTAATATCAGATCTTAATAACCTGTCATTTTCAGTGATGATGATTTTCTTTATGGGAGGCTATTATGGCCCAAAGTTGCGGCTGTTTGGGGGAAAAGCTGTTTGGGACTCTCGGCACCTCAGTGCTTATGACTCTCGTGTGCTCATTGAACTTTCTGTCTTTTATGCGACGAGAGAGCATCAGTGAGTAGTGACCAGAGGGCTTTTAGCTCAGAACAGCCCAGCTGAGATGAGCCTTCATCTGTTTCTCTCTGTGTACAGTTCAAGAGAGCTTCTTCCCTGACCACCATCAGAAAAACACATTCAGCCCATCATACGCATTCATATCCATCATGCATTGTTGGGTTTTATTAGAACTGATAGTAGATGGCATACGTACAATATACTAAACCACATGTGTGTGTGTGTGTGTATATATATATAAATATATATATATATATGTATGTGTGTGTGTGTGTGTGTGTGTGTGTGTGTGTGTATAT